TTTTTATGGTATCATTAAGATTTCTTATTCAAAAAATACTCATTAGTCAATGATACTATAAGGGTATATTTATATTTTTATGGTATCATTAAGATTTCTTATTCAAAAAATACTCATTAGTCAATGATACTATAAGGGTATATTTATATTTTTATGGTATCATTAAGATTTCTTATTCAAAAAATACTCATTAGTCAATGATACTATAAGGGTATATTTATATTTTTATGGTATCATTAAGATTTCTTATTCAAAAAATACTCATTAGTCAATGATACTATAAGGGTATATTTATATTTTTATGGTATCATTAAGGTTTCTTGTTTAGAAATTACCCATTAATTAATGATACTATAAGAATATATAGCTAATGAATAATTTTTTCATGAGAAATCTTAATGATACCAATACGGTATATATATACTGATTTAGTATCAGTTAAACAACATTATTAGTCTTAATGATGTAACATCTCGCACCTAGAAACGACTATAAAGAGTTTAAAATATGAAAATATTGATTTTTGGAAAGAATAAGGAAATCTGGAAAATTTGTCTAAGTTAAGAAAGTGAGTTTTGGCCATTTTCAAACGTCCATAACTCCTAGATCAGGAGAATTTAGAAGCAGTTCTTGATATGGTTGAAAAGCCCTTGGAGAGATCTTTCCAACGCCGCCAAGATTTCACGATTTTGACATCGTATGAGTGAGATATCCCTTTCGGAATTTGGGCTGTTGGATTGAGGAAAGTCCCAATCCGGTTTAGGGAAGGGCAAAGTAGTCTTTTCTCCAATTTATTTCCTAATTCGTTTTTAGGGATTTATTGGGGTAAAAACTTATTTTGGTCAGATTAGGAAAAGTGTATTCACGCTTAGGGCTTGGAGAAAAGAGAAGGTAAGAAAGAAAGGGAGGAAAGCCAAGATTTCGCCAAGAACGTCAAGCATTTGGAGTGGAATTCGTCGGGGGTGATCCCTATTAAGGTATGTGAGATCTTTCAGTGATGGGTTAGTTCGCCCACACACCAACTTGTTTCAATTCAGCGATTTTGGGTTGATTACATGTTAAAAAAGTGAAGTCCTTGAAAGACATCGTTAAGTTCTTGATTGGTTGTGTTGTTGAAGTTTCTTGTTGATTTGATTCGTGTTTCCGAGTGAATTTTCGAGTTAAATCTGTTGTATGTTGAGGGTACTACTGACCCTAAGTGTTTGGGGAAAGAACTATGGAAGTTTAGAGGGTTTAGAGATGAAAAACGAAGGAGAAAGTGAGGGATTTTCTGGGCAAAGGCATGGGGCGCCTCGCCTGCCAGAGCGCCACAAAAGTTCCTTTGAACTTTGGCCTCTGGTGCGTCGCGCCAGCCATAGCGCCACAACAAGCCCTCTGAAGTTTAAGGGCTGGTGCCCCGCACCTCTCAGAGCGCCAGGGACTCTAGTTTTCCCCATTTGTTTCCCACCTTTTAGTACGTGTTCCTAAGTGATGTACCTATGTTTCCTAGTCGATTCCAATACTCTAAAGTACATCTAAACATCATGAAATCATCCATAAACATGAGATCATGAACCTTGAATCCATAATTCAATTCAAGGAAAGTTAAGTTCAAAGTCAAAGAAGTTAAGAGTCAAGTCTAGAAGTTAAGGAGCAAGTCAAAGCAAAGTTTCTTAAAGTTTTCAAGGGTCTTTAACAATGTTTTAACGTCGTCTTAAGACTTAAGTTTTAAAGTTAAGCAAGAGTAAAGCTATGGTTTGAAGTTCTTTTCTTCAAAGAGGTATATGGGGACTATGTATTCCCAAAGAAGTTTAAAAGAAATGTTTTCACATTTAAACAAGGTTGGAAACTGAGATTTCCAAAGAGACTTCGGGCTAGTTTTCAGAAAAGAGTAATCGCTTTCTAAATGAAGCAGAAAGGAAACTTTGATTTCCAAGATAGCCTTTGAGCTAAGTTTTTGAGCACTAATCTCAAATCACAGAGGTAATATGTTTTAAAAACATAAGAGCCAGTATATTTTTGGGAGTAGTATTGAGTATCGAGTTGGGGGAGTGTTCAAAGAACCCACTGCCCCCATAGAACCATGTAGCCATCATGGGTAGAAGAGGTTCATACTTTTTAGATGAATCCTTTTCGAATAGACTAGTGGATCCACTTAGTAGTTCAGGTCCTATACCATGACAAGGTATAGGATGGCCCGAGAAACATGGGGCTAATAACGCTGTATCATCACTATAGTTCTTAAGTGATGGTTGTCGGTTAGAGAAACTCCCACAGAAGTTATCGTATTTTTATATACATCAGTTTATTGTATTTTTACATACATTT